CTCTGTTGTTGAGGTATTTTTTCAAGGTTCGAAAATAATAATAATTTGCTACATACACGAACTGTCTTTTGCTCCTTAAGATCTATTGGCAATGGATAAAAATTACAATGAAATAGTATTTTGTATGGAAGTCAAAATACTACTTTGTTTACATTTTGTTACCTTTACGACACATTATTGCACATTCAGCGCTACTTTAGGTGATTAACATACAACATGCTCTTAATCCATTATAAAAAATTTTTAAACTCAAATTTGACATTTCTAAAGAATTATAAGCAATATAGACTTCTGAGAGGCATAAAGAGTCTTTAAGTTACATACACATGAATATCAATGAATAAATATGTATGCTTAGAAAGTACCTTTAATTTTGGAATAAACAAAACAGGTACATGTACCCAGCATTCGTTTGAGATAATTCCTGATGTTATGAAATTACACAGAAATCTTGCATAATTGTCGGATATGACATAAAATAGATGATGATTACCATAGAAACTTGTATGTCAGATGATTAACACTGTACGAAACAGTCACACAATTGATCAGCAAAACAAACAAAAAAAAAGATCTAATTGGAAAAGGTGAGAAAGCATTCACTTAGACACATGTCATTTATAGTAAAAATGTATTATTTCATTTTCAATTAGTCAGAGTGTGAGGAGTTAACCATCTAGTACACGTTTGACGTATATTTCGCAATTTTTTTACTTGTAAAATCTACTAATGGTTATACCAAAAATAGGCAGCTACGGGTAGGGTAACCATGACTTCACTATACATACGTTACATGCTAACCATAGATATTGCATTGTTATTATTATTATTATTATTATGTAAGACAAAGTGCAATAACAAGAACAGTAAATTTGCAAACTTACCATACAGTCGTCGTATTGTATAATATAACAAAATTTACAAGAATAACCATGGATAAAGGGCATTTTAATATAAACGTTTTTTTTTGTTTTTGTTTTTTTTTTTTTGGGGGGGGGGGTTGTTTTTTCATTTTTTATGTATTTAATTTATTTTATTTTTGGTAATTTTTTATGTTTTGTTACGATAATATTTATGTAAGTACATACATTTGAACATTACAACATGTAGAACTTTAAACAAACTCAACACAACATAAGTACAGTCATTATCCCGGAACGATGTCCAACACCAGTAATAACAAATAAATTTATTAAAAGAGAAACATATAGTACCATTTTTGTCCCCGAGTGTTGGTGGCATGACATAGAGATGGAATGTAAATACTATGTTAATTCAAGTCAAAATATTTTAAGCAATAACACAATATACTTCACAGTTTAAACGCTAAAAGTTAAAACGATTCATTCTATCCAAAAAACGACAGTACTACATCTGCATCAATTAGTTAACCCCTCTGCGAGCTATATTTTAGCCGCGTATATAAGAAGCTGCAGACCACGCTCCCGGCCTTTCTTCTCAGTTCCCCTCGGAGCGCGCATGTCGCTGAGAAGGCACAGGGCATCGGCAGATGATTGAAGGACCAATGCTACGTTTAAGGCGACAAGTTCGCATGTTCTCTACAGCTCGGGGTAACGTTTAAGGCGGCACGACTTAGTTTGCATGATGTTAGCTGCCGGTGTCCTGACTAATGCCGAGGGGAATTGCCCTACAAAGTAGGCTGAGACGACGAGCATGGTGTGCTACGGTGCGTGAGCCCCTAGTGCAGATAAACGGCTTGTAAGGAAGGCCTTTTGCTGGCACCAACAGCACTTTTAAGGGCTACCCTTTCATATTGTCACAGGTTACTGTACATTTAGGTTCTCACTGACCGCCGTACAGTGACCTACTTTTGGCTCAAAATTCATATCTTTGGCTGATACTCCGTGGAAATTGCATAGGGGTAAATTATCACCACTATGTGCTTCAAAATTAACTCTATAAGGGCATGACTGGTGACATGTCCGGGGTCCGTACTCGACAGCGAAAGCTGCATTTTGTTACTGTGGATGGACCCTCATTAAGCATTTACTACATACATACATAGCTCCCGGCCTTTTCAACTTCGCCAGCGTTAAAGAAGGTACGGGACATATTTATACTTTATGTAGAACACAATATTTGGATTTCGCCAACACATCAGTTAGCGATAGATTAATAAATGTGATGTAACAATGAACAGTTTATAGATTCGTAGTTTAAATGGCATGTTCACGTCTTAACAGATATTGCAGGCATATAAATACACATAACAAAACTACAATAAGGGTTAAAGGGTCTCAATTGGGGTTTTTTGACATGGCGGAACTGGAAATATCTTTTCCGAGATTTGTGTACCAATGGGTGTACCTTGTACGTCTAAGATCTATGTAACCTGCTTAATAACAACGAGATTATAAGCATTTGGCTATAGTCTTATTTTTAGCATCTGAAAGATACAGTTTTAACGATATTGCGCACCACTATAATGTTCTCTTAGCATCCCAAACTATTTTTTAAATGACAATATATTCATAAATTGTGTATGTCAGATATCATGCTTAACAATTCAATTTCTACGGAGCAATATTCCATAAGTGGTTATTGTTATAACTTCATATCATGGGTTCTAAAATATTGATGAGTTACGGGCATTTCTGTACACTTTGTTCACTTAAAATCATTTGTATTCAATTAACATCTCTTCGTGTCATTTCCATCTAAAGTGAACCAATATTTTCGTAACTTGCTTCATTTATTTCCATTACTTATTTGAAAACCACTGACTTCATTTGCTGTTACAATGTACTCCTTTTATAGGTTCATAATGACCCAGAAATGTGTATACCTTTCTCATGTTTTAATTTTGTGTCCAGTTATAGTTTCCAAAATGCTACTCATTGTCCATTACCTGAACCCTATATGCATTTGTTACTTTCTGGGTATCTGTACAGTCATAGTGATTTATATGTTGCTACTTTTATTAAAAGTTATTTTACATTAAATACTTCTTTTTTCCGATATTACGCATATTAATCTTAAACAAGCATTTAAAGGCACATTATATCCTAGAAACGAATTAAATTTGACTTCTTTGGAAATGGCAAATGGCAAACATAAATTTAATCTTTAAATGATGATTTTATGGCACGTAAGATGCTTGTTGTCTAAAGAAAGAACCTAAATGTGAATTGAATTGTAAATTTAAACAAAGGAGTATTTGACTTCCATACCAATTGCCAAGGTAATTGGCCAATTAGTTACATATAAGAAACTATTTAAGTACACACAATATGAAAAGTTTTTTTGAGAAATAAGAATAAATGCATTTCATGAACATGTGCCTTTAGTGTTAATATATTTTTCTCGTTCTTTGGGATAATTGATACCAGCACAATTAAGTGTTCAGAATTGAGTACTGCTCAAGCAGGTGCTAGGGGGCGTGAAGGATGTTGCACTTATTCATTATCCCTCATGTACAGACTCAATCAAACCGAGTCTGCAATTTTCATGTAATTTTGTTGTGATTAATGCTTCCGAAGGATCACTTTGTTTCGAGTTGTTAAACATAATAAAACTCATGTTTTTTTCCGTTCTAAAGATGCAAGTAGTACAATGTAATTACTCTTATCTGGGGAACAATTGTACCTTTAATGAAACGCAGGTGGCTCATTTACGAAAAATGCTGTAAAACATAATTATCTGTAGATGAAACAAAATAACGTTCAAATAGGAGAGTATTTGAAATTTGAAGTTACTTTAAAATTGATATTTTAACTTAATATAGTATCGCATTGACCTCGTTACCGGAGCATTGTGGCATTTTTCTTTCGAAAACAATAGGTAAACGATGAAGCAAATACTTGTTATAGAGATATACATGTATTTTTGATTTACTGTCGTCCTGAATATTCGTACTTGGATTCATTAAATGATGCAGCATGGTAAAATGAATGAGTGAATACTAAATTTATTGAACAAGTTGAATAAAAGTCATCTTTTGCGGGCCTCTGGCGATCATAATATTGTTTTATTTGTCGAATTAAATAAATATAATATTGAATATATACGAACATAATATTATATTTATCACATATCCGAATTAGGAATGTTTACAGTTAAAAAAGAGTCATTTTTGTTATCGACGCACCTGTATTGTAACAATATCATTAGCGCACTTTTACCGTACTGTTGTATGTTTGTATATAACACAAAATGGCGTCACGTCAAAGTCTTATTACACTAGTGTAATATCGTTTTTATAAAATGACTCATAAAAAAACGATATAACATAATATCGTCTTTAATAAAAAAACGATATTACAGTTGTTTAGAAATTTGCTTATACATTTATAACGCTGCAAACTATTGCTAAAAAATTGTTACATTACAATTCAAAGACTCCAATTTACAAAACAAAAGTACTGCATTAGATGTTAACGATCGTCTATTAGCTTTGATAATTTTGAAATAATTTTTCTTCATACCGATGAGGCTGTTTTGAAACATTTTCTTGCTTAAAAGTATAGTTACCATTTAAAAAAAATATTCTTTTCATAATCATGTCTCTTACACGTTTGTGAGAAATCATTTTAAAAAGGGTATTTAACATTTCATATTGTTACTATTCATAGTTTTGAATTCATACTGCATAAAAGGCAATTGTGACAAAAAATCCTAGCTAAAAAGGGACAAAACTCATTTTTGCTTGAATTGCTTTCAAAATTATGGCTCATATCTAACTAGTTCATCTTATTTTAATTGTTTTGTTCTCCAAGTTTCGTGTTGATACATTTAAACTTTTATGCGAAATGGGCTGAATTAAAATGTTAACTAGACGAGCACGACGACGAAAACGACGACAACGGCAACGCAGCGATAGTTATAGCTCCACCATTGTTTCGAAACAAATAAGCTTAAAATGATATTAAAGGAAACTTTTTCCCCCAATTGAATACCTTTAATGTTTATGTAATTATTGAACCAAACAGTAAAACGGTTAAGTCAGTACCTTATTATAAGCAGTTTTTGTAACTCTTCGGTAACGCTTTTAATATCAATATTCTTTAATACAACAAAAATCCAGAAAATGATTCGAACCGCTGTGTTTTAGCAGCCCATATGTATCCGTCGCTAACGTCACTTTCGAGCGATACAGTTTGTCCAGCGCGTAAGCTTAAAATGGCAAAGTTGCCACCCTGAATATCTTGGTCGCCTGATAACGCATCAGCTATTCCTTGAACTGTCCTGTCACCATCTACTACTAACGAGGCGTAGAATTCATGGACCTGATATTCAGCTATGTAGAATGAAAATGCGTAAATGCCGTCTACCGGTACGGTGAATATGCCCGTGTGTATGTTATAATCATCTCCTACATTGGTCAATATTTTATCAAATTTGATTGGCTGACCAACTCCAAGATGTTCAATCGGCTTTGTAGCGTACACGGTAAATGCAGTTCTTTCTTGTAAACCTGAAAAATTGGATTATAATTAAACACAGACTTACATTATTTCTAAGTACCATTTTACGTAATATAGTAGCAAAAGTGTAACATGCATTGTTATGTATATTAAAGGGAAATGGTTCAAAAATAAAGCAAAGTAGCATTCTAAGAAAATGTACACTTGGCCTCTCTTTGGGATTGTTTTTACTGTTTGATGTTTTTATAAGTTTATTTCCATGTGTTTCAATTTATTCCAAGAACAAGTTTCAAGTTATTACAAGGACAAGATTAAAGTTATCCATGGACAGGTTTCAAGTTGAAAATTGGTCAGAATCGTGATCAAGAACTTTACAAACCTCGATTCATTGCTTTGGTATTTCTAGTATTACGTTCTTCAAGCCGACCTAACAATACACTGGTCAATTCTTTGTCTATAAGCGAAATGAAAATTGGTTATTTATAATTACTGCGAGATAAAAATGCTTCAAAATATGTCTTAATATATGCAAAAGAACATATACATAAAAGTGTCATAGTTACAGCCAAAAGTGAGAATAAACACGAATGAGTGTATGGATTTCTTTTCTCCTTTGTCTTTCTTTTAAGTTTTAAATTACTTGTATTTGTGTTTGTTTCACGTCGCACCTGCACAGTAGATGTGACTTTCCAGCTTTACTGGTGGCGGAATACCTAAGGAGCCCCTCAGTGCATTATTTCAGGCACGAACGGGCATATGAATCCAAAATCCCTGGTGTATTTCAAACGCACCGTTGTTAAGGGCAAGTAGTGTAAAGTTGTCTTCTTTAACTACTCGTCTAAGGACATACTTTGAAGGAAAATGTTACTTTTTACTTTCTTTCTTTCTTTTGTTATAATTTTCACATTCATCATTAGGATCAAATATCCAACAATACATGTCTATATGTCTATACCCTGTATAATTGAAACTATATTGATGCTGCATATGCATGCATGCATGCTTAATGAACAAATTAGCTAATCCGTTGGGACCAGACAAAAAAGCTAAGTCACAACGAGAAGAAGGTCGTTTTGGGTCGAACATTTTGATTTTGAAAATGAGATACCTGTTTGTCTTGTGTTTACGTATAACAAATTCAATGACAGCGCAACTTAACATTTCGAAAGCTAAAGGGTCTTTACCTATCTACGTTATTATAACCATGTTTAATGCGACGTCAACGATCTATTTTGAGGATAACGCACGACAGCGTCATACATTGTATGGGAACGACGTGCGACAATTAAACAATATTATAATTGTTTGGTAGGAGTTTATTTTGAGTCTGGATTAAATATATAACCAGATCGGAGAAACTTTTTCTTTGGGATAAATGTTTATATTTTTACGATTTACGTTGGTAATTACTGAAAATTGTTTCTCGTTAGAAGCGTCCAAATCTGCATCGTCAACAGGCATTCGTATAATTCTTTTTCCACAAAGATTTTACTCTATATTTTGAATTGACTAAAAGTATACCTTTTAGCGAATTGCATTTTATGTACATTCTGAAATCAAAAAAATCATAATGGTCATGGCAGTCCTAGCCATATCTGTTGTATCTGTACGTAATTTGATGCCGTATGAATTAAAACAGGGACACGTCAGCACCAGACTTTGCCTGCAAGTTAACACGCTTTATTGTAGGACGATTGCGTCACGGCAAAAAGTGGACAATAATTAGGACATGGCAGGATAAAACGGCGTTCACCAGTGTTAGATTTCTAGTTGTTTGAAAGTTATTGTTACACTGTTAATTACGGTGACTGACTTACTGAATGCAAAAATGGACACAAATACAAAAATACAATTGTAACTGTATTTACCTTCCTTCACAGTTGAGTTGTCGCTTGTAGCAATTTTTCTTGAAATCTGAAAAAGTATAGCATTAAATGTGTACATTTTGTAAAGCAAAGTGTAAAATGGGAGTTATAAGTAAAAACTGTTTTACCAAATTTACCATATTTTGAAACTATATGTATTTTTAAAGATTCCAAAGGAATTATTACAATTGCATCAGGAATAAGCTTAATATAAAGATTAAAAACAAAGTTAACGTGTTTTAATATTGTCTTAAAAAATGGCAAAATTTTAAGCATGTTTATTAACAAGTAAAGATAGATTTACTTACCAGTTTAATAATTTCATTTTGTGTTCGCACTATTTCATCGGTCCCGATCTGATTCTATTCAAGTTCGGAGATTTTGTCTTGTTGCTGTTTCAACTTGTATTCCAGTGCTGCAATTCTTTCTTCATTAACACATGAAGTACATCTTACTGCATCATAAAGCCCTAACAAAAGTAATATAAATAAATTGTATCTAATATACATGTTTTATATCTGCGAGCTCCAAATGTGTACTAATCGTACTTAATAGTACGTATTTACGTACATATATCTACTGTTATAGAAGATAAGATAGATAAATTATTTAGGGGGAAATTATTATGCTTTCGAACTAATATAGTTAATGTTATGACTAAAGGTCATTTAAATATGTTAAGTGAAACATTGATATAAATATAGATCACAAAGTTCACATAGAATTCAACATGGTCAAGAAAATACATAAATTTTATAACAATGAATCCAAGATTTTGTGTTAACTTTGTGCATTACAATATGTTACAAATTTGTCATTTCTTCATTTCTTTTATTTTTGTAAATAAAAGGGCAATAAATGATAAAACAGGTAATAACAATTTCTTCGCTAATAAGCTGTAAAATGCTTTGTTAAAAATGATTATTATTTTCAAACAATAATTAAATAAGACACTAGCAGGTTGGATCGTATGGCGAAAATGAAACAAAACAGGACAAAATTAATGTTAGCGATCGGAAAGTATCTCGCTAACTCTTTAAAATATACCTTTTACAGTTACAGAAAAGATCTACATACATATGTATTTTACAAAATAGATAAATACAGAATCCCTAAAGAAAACCCAACACGGCAAAATTGAAAATGTTGCAGGCTCGGTTTGATTGAGCCTGTTCATGGACGGTACTGGAAAGTGCAAAAAATAACAAGAATAAAGATCAACAAGGCAAAGGCAACGTTCACAGGTCGCCGCCCCCGGACACACCCAAGCAGGACACCAAGAAGGCACCAAACAAGTTACCGTCCACGCCCCCTAGCACCGGCTTAAGCAGAATTCAACATTTAACATGAACTGGTAAAATTTAGAATTTTGAAACATCCGCAGATGTGTTCATATGGCGGTTATCATGGAACCTTCAATGTGACACGTTAGTGCCATTCCATGAAAAGCGGCATATGATCCCCAAGTAAAAAAATGCGTGTGCCCTAAACGAGAAAACAATGGGCGGAACTAAATAAAATGGAATTTTGAAAGGGGATCTGAGGTTATGCCGCCTGCGTATCACAGATGAGACGTCAAAGGACAAATTTAAAAAGCAGGCAACATATCCTAAGGGTGATTCAACATTATTCAAGTAGGAATATTGGAACCACCCAACTAGAAAATGCCAAAAAGTTGAAACTAAAAATACAACAAGCACAACAATAATGTCGTGCTGAACGATCTTCAAGGATCGAAAATATAACATCATTGATAGCATTTATTAATAAACTTTTATCTTTACTCAAGGGTAAGCTATCAAATCAATGAACGTAAAAAATATTGAATATTGAACAAATTTACCATTATTTATTTTTCATTTGGTTTTTATACCCTTTGGCTGAAGGGGTGCCTTTTCTGGTTGAGGCAGTAGAATTGCAGCCACCGTTTTACCGTGCGAGATCGATCGTTAGAGGCGGCTAAATGGGTTCAAATAACTGGAATCTATGCATCATTTAGCACTAGCAGGTGAGGTGATTTTAACTCCTTGTGTTGCTTCAAGTTTGTAACATCCGAGATTAGCTAATATCATATTTCCATTTTGGCGCTATATAACCTAAATTGTGTTGGTGCGCCGTAAAAACCAAACCAAACAAACAAATATATAGGACTCGTTGTACAGTAATCAGTTCGTTAAGTACTTAAAGCAGCACGCCTCCAGATTTATGCAAATTTTCATTAAAATTCTGAAAAGGTTTTAAAAAGTAAAATATTGCCATGTGAAGGTGTCAATTTCAGAAACAAAAAGAAATCACATGGGGCAAGGTCTTGAGAATACGGGGGTGGGGCAAAACAGTTACTTTTTCTTTTTTCAAAAACGCCGAAACTATTGCGGAGGTATGACCGAGGGTATTGTCATGTAGGAGACAGATATGCTTACAACCAGTGACAGGGCGTCGTTTCTTATAATATTTTTTTCAGTTTCTTAAGTACTACGTCTTTGTAGTACTTCCCAGGGATACTTTTGCCCTTTTTGACCGGCACTTTTATTGCGACTCCTTCACCAGTGAAGAAAATTGCATACAAAACTTTTGCACTCAAAGACCGTTTGGCAATTATTGGGCGTTTGTTGTGTTAAGTGGCCCAGATTTTGTTGCTAACTTTTCTGAAGGGCTCAAAATAATGGACCCAGGTTTCATCAACTATGACGACATTGGCAGACTGTTTTTGTCATATTTTGGAAACATTTGCAGCAGCGTTTTTGATAACCCGTTGCCTCTTTTGCTCATTGGTCAACAGATGTGGTACCCATCTAGCAGAAATCTTTCTGACATCTAACACTCTTTAAAGCCATTATCTAAACATTATGAAATTCATGTTTGACCTTCCTAAAGAAGTAAACATCTATTTGTTTCTGAGGCGTAATGTGCCTTTAAGTAATTTATTCTAGAATTTATCAACAAGAAAATGTCTATGATTAGACTGATTGATGCCGTTATCATATAATCGGAAATTGTCTTATCATTTCCTATTGTTGTTGCATAACGTAACATATTGTCTGATGGATCATGTCAACAGATCATGTCAACATGATTGAATTGGTCTCACTATTATTGTCTCCATATTGAAGGAAACAGGTAACAACTTATTTTTGTTATTTTTTTAAATTTTGTACCTAATTGTATATATCTATGGTGTCTATGATGATGTGGATATCATGAGACAAGCTCTTGTCAAAACAGGGGATAAAACATTTGTCAAAACCAATAATTTTCTTAACGATTAAATATGATGACAATTATTTAAACTATTTTAACGATAATTCTAATTGTGTCAATCAATCATTCCGTCCATCCTCAACTATAATTACTGTTCCAATTACTGTATAGTCGATAATAGTTACCTAAAACAATTTCCTTAATAAGTAGAACATGATTATGCGAAAAACTTCATGCGGATTTTTTTTATAACAAATGCAGTTGTCCTATTTTTTCCTACAAATATAATAAAGGTAATTGTTTATCACGCGAGGTAGTGATAAAATAGAGAAAACGAAATCCCTAAAGAACGCCCAAAACGACAAATTGAAAATGTTGCAGGCTTAGTTTAATTGAGCCTGTTCATGGTAAACTGGAAAGA